CGCCTTTCTTTGTAGCAGAAGCATGGTCCTCTTCTTAGGATCCTCCAAGCTATTGCAGTGGCAGGACACTGGCAGTACCCTTTACCTATGGCATGTTAAAGGGTGTTCTGGTTTTTGTGCCTGGTTAGTTGTGCCTGAAGATTTGAAGTGATGATTTGGGGAAAACTTTGGGTAAAGGGCTGATAATGGAGACTGGATTAAGTGGACCAGGATGTCCCTTCCAGTCTTATGTTTCTATTAGTTCAGGCAAAAAGGCTCATGTTTTAAGATCCAGAAGTCCTGAATTTAATACATCTGCCAGCAACCTTTCAAAAAAGGGAGGAAAGAGGACCCAGGAAACTATAGGCCCGTTAGTCTTACCTCAGTCCTGGGGAAGCTCTTTGAGAAAATTATCCAGGAGCACATCCACAAGGGACCAGCAGAGGAGATTATGCTTAGGGGCAATCAACACGGGTTCATTAGAGGCAGGTCCTGTCAGACCAACCTGGTGGCCTTCTACGACCAGGTTACAAAAGCCTTGGACACAGGTGTCACGGTGGACGTAGTCTTTCTGGACTTTAGGAAGGCCTTTGACACTGTCTCTCACCCCATCCTCATTAAAAAATTAGGTGACTGTGGTGTCGACACCTACACAGTCAGATGGGTCACTAATTGGCTGGAGGGCTGCACCCAGAGAGTGGTGGTGGACAGGTAATTTTCAGCCTGGAGGGACGTGGGCATTGGGGTCCCGCAGGGCTCAGTCCTTGGACCTGCACTGTTCAATATCTTCATCGGTGACTTGGATGAGGGGGTGAAAAGCGCCTTGTTCAAGTTCGCAGATGACACTAAGATGTGGGGAGAAGTGAGCATGCTAGAAGAGAGGGACAGTCTACAACTAGATCGGGACAGGTTACAGAGGTGGGCGGATGAGAATAGGATGCATTTCGATATGGACAAGTGCAAGGTGTTGCACCTCAGGAGGAAGAACCAGCAGCATACCTACAGGCTGAGGAATTCCCTTCTCATCAGCACAGAGGCAGAAAAGGATCTTGGAGTCACTATTGATTCCAAGATGAACATGGGCCACCAATGAGGGGAAGTGTTCAGGAAAGCTAACTGCACCTTGTCATGTATTCATAGATGCATCACGATCAGGTCCAAGGAGGTGATCCTCCCCCTCTATGCGACATTGGTCAGGCTGCAGTTGGAGTACTGTGTCCAGTTCTGGGTGCCGCACTTCAGGAGTGATGTGGATAGCATCAAGAAGGTACAGAGGAGGGCCACTCACATAATCAGGGGGCAACGGTGTTGGCTCTGTGAGGAGAGGCTATGGGAACTGAACCTGTTCAGCCTCTACAAGAGAAGGCTGAGAGGTGATCTGGTGGCCACCTACAAACTTGCCAAGGGGGACCAGCAGGCAATGGGAGAGTCCCTGCTCCCCCAAGCACTACCGGGAGCTACAAGGAATAACAGCCATAAGCTGACTGAGAGTAGATTCAGGCTCGACATCAGGAGGCACTACTTCCCGGTCAGGGTGGCTAGGAGCTGGAACCAACTTCCAAGGAAGGTAGTGCTTGCCCTTACCCCAGGGGTCTTCAAAAGGAGGCTAGACAATCACCTAGCCAGGGTCGTTTGACCCCAGCATCCTTTTCTGCCCATGGCAGGGGGTTGGACTTGATCATCTGCCTAGGTCCCTTCTGACCCTACCAACTATGAAACTATGAAACCCACCTGTAGTGTCTGTTACACAGATTTGAAGAACTGAATCCCTTGAGAGCCTACAGTGGATGCCCTGAAATGGGTCCTTCTTCCTGGAGTTTCATTTATTTTACTGTCTTTAGTTTGTTAGAGTATAAGTATCCTGTAATCAAAGGAGTTGTGTTTTCTTCCTGTATCACCCAGAATGTTGTAGGTAGCCTATAAATATTGATACATATCTCTCCTAGAATGAAGCTTTGCTACTTTGCCTGAAATATTATCATTGAGTCCTGAGTATCAATGGGAATATTGTGCCTCACCCATTATAGTCTTAAACCTTTAGTAAATAACAGGAGGTATGTCATCTGAGTTCTGCCTAGACCTAACTGAGTGTGGATACATGAACAAGTTGCAATTAATAAAGCTAGGGTGTGAACTTAGGGTGGAATTTTCCTTTGCAGCATTTAAAATGCCATCTTTTTAGCTTTTAGAAATTAAACTTACCCAGAGGGAACAATTCCCTTTCCCAGGTGGTATGGCTTTGTTAATTGGTACATAAGGCATTTTTACACATAACTTTTTGTCCCATCATGCGCCAGAGATCCACACGCAAACTGCCACGCACTGCGGTGTGCTGCATGCAGTTGTATAAGCGGTGAAATATACGCCAGCGCACAAAAAATGGTGGCAGTGTGCTTTTGAATGAAAGCACCTTCTGTGCATTTTAGTTCAAAAGCATGCTGTCGTTATTTTCTCAGCGCTAATGCACATGTCGCCACTTATACAATTACAAGCAATGTAGCGCTGGGTGCTTTTCAAAGTACCCGGTGCTGCAGAGCGTCATGTGTAAAAATGCCCATATAGACTGCACATGTGTGGTAGACACTGGCTGTACATTCATGTGTCCATATATGTACAACTGTTGTGGGCATAAGTTCCAAAACAGTGGGTGGCCAGAAACACGTGGCTAATAGGCGCTAGATTCAGGAGGAAAAGGAGAGGCCCTCCTATGTTTCAGTCCCAACAGCTGTGTGGTTGGGCCTGGCCCAGGAAACCAAACACATGCTTTATAGGCCCCTCCTTGCCTAAAGGAGGTTGAAAACTGTGTCTCTGACTACCCATGAGAGTGTTGTGTGGCAGATTATGGTCTGTCCACTGCTGCTGCCCAGGATGCAGAAGCTGCTTTTTACACTTCTGGCTTTCTGTTGCGGGGGCCATGAATAACCAGATTCAAAGAAATGTCAGGCAAATTTCTTAATAATGTCTGACTGGTTGTATGGTAGTTAGAGTACAGTTCTGGGAAGTAGGAGATGTAGACTCAAACTCATTGTGGGTGAAGAGACGTAGGACCTGAGTCTCTGACTTTTGGGTGAGTACCCTAACCTACCCACTTTATCCTGCAGTCATTTTTTTCCAAGGTGTGCAAATATATGTGCATGTTAAAAGAGCTTCAAAGAACCAAAATCTAACTGGGGGCCAAAAATGGCCAGCTAGAAAACTGATGCTTTGATGTGCAAAGGGAAATAGAATTCCATCGTTAGTGTGTTATCTGAGAACTATCTGCAAGCATTCATGCTCATACCATCTGGTAAATGCAAGGCAGCTTGGCCCATTTTCATTGAGTGATAAGCTATCTCACATTTACAGTGGGATGCGTGTGTACATAATGGGTAGTTTCCACAGAGAAGCTAACATACTGAAAGTTCATTGTAGTTTAACTTATGGTAACTTCTTTGTGTAGCCATAATCTAACACAGTTTTTATGACACCATAAAAACATGTAACAACAATCGCATCTAATACACAGTGCAGAAATCATTGAAACAAACACAAGAGAGCAGCACTGATAAACTGAAATAATATTTGAAATATACAGGATTCGGGGCTGTATGTGGCATGCACATTACAAAGTGAGAAAAATATAGAAATCTATACCACAGTTAGAAATAAAAAATCTACAGATAAACTATATTATTTAGGTTTAGGACAGTCATTTTGAAAATGACATGTTATTTTCACAGGAGCTATACCATCACTTCTTATTAGATATCTATATTTTTATATCATTTACAGTAGAATCTAGTTAATCCACACTTTGCTAAACTGGGTACCTTGTAATCCTCATGAAAAATGGCAGCCTCTTACCAACCATCAATAAAAATTTAATAGTTAATGCTGTGGTTAGGTCTCACATCACTAAGCTGTCATTATTTTTATAAAACAGTGTAGATCACACTTACTAATTTGCTAAGGATTGCTACTACAAATAACTAAAACTAAATGCCATCTGACAAAATTAATTTGTAATATGATATCTAGGATTTTTATTTTTCAGTTACTAAAAAATAGTCATTCAGAGTGGAGTCTGTTATTTTACTTCTGGAATTTAGCAAAAATAGAGATACATAACTGTAGCTGCTTACCATGAGAGTTTTGTAGGTGAAGTACATAGGAAAAGTACTTAATTTAGAATTGTTAATTGTCACAGTGAAACTATTTTGTACATTTGCCATTTCTACCAACATATTCTTCTGCTAAGATAAGCATAAGAATCTCCCTGTCCCCCAACTCCCTCAACATATATACACACACAATATAATATAATATAATATAATATAATATAATATAATATAATATAATAGTCTATGTGGTAAATTTTGGTGCCATATCTCATCTTGCTATCAATCCCACTGAAGTCAATTTATCTATTCCTGGAACAAGATGCTACTTGTGGCAAGTGAAGGAATCGGAATCCCACTCTAAATGTGTAAGGACCTCATTCTGTCAGCCACTGAAGCTCAATCGGTATAACAGAATAGGAGATCATGGGGGATATTCTGACCGTTAATGGATCCAGTCACCTTATATTTGCAGGTGACTGCTTGAAGAACATTCATGTTGCCTTCTGATTCTCAAGTACATAACTATTTTTAAAGAGTACATTTAAGAGTTGACAAAGTAGCTATAAAACAACACACAAGGCCAAAGTAGAGGTATATAATAACACACAGCCAAAAGAGAAATTAGAGAGTTGTAAATGTGCGTGTCCTCTGAAGTACATAGTGTTTTGCTTTACTTTCCTTCCACTCCTATCACAGCTTTTGGGTATCTTCAAATACTGCTATGTTAATTCAGAAACACTGAACAAAAGAGAACCAGAATAAATCAGCTTCCTTACTAGTAGAGCTTTAAATATCATCTTAATTGGTGCAGGGACAGGCCTTCTCAAGTGTAAAGTCTGTGTTTTGTTTAATTTGATTGCCAGTTTCAGCCTGCTGCTTCTGACTTATGGCTTGTTTCTCTTCTCTTATTTCTCTCAACAGAAAGCTGACCTTGCAGTTGCTCCTCTGGCCATTACGTATGTTCGAGAGAAGGTCATCGACTTCTCCAAGCCCTTTATGACTCTTGGAATAAGTATTTTGTACCGCAAGCCCAATGGTACAAACCCGGGCGTCTTCTCCTTCCTGAATCCTCTCTCCCCTGATATCTGGATGTATATTCTGCTGGCTTACTTGGGTGTCAGTTGTGTGCTCTTTGTCATAGCCAGGTAACATGTCAAATTTTGTGATTTTTTTGGCAATTGTTATCTTTTTTTTCTCACTAATAATTGTCAAAAGTCACAAATGTTTTTCTTACTTTCATACTCTCATATTTCACTTTATGGTATACAGAAGAATAATGAATTATTAGGGTTCTTACAAGTCTTTACAAAGTATAACACTGCTCTTTTAACTCTAGCATGCTGATTTTGTCATCAAGCAGTCAGTATGCCAGGTGACACTTGATTTTTATTTACAAACTGAAAGACATTTGAAAGTCCTGTGAAATGTCTTTTCCTCTTCCTATGTGTTTCCTTTACACAGAAAATGACAGTTGTACTTTTTTTATATGATTTAGTTTGGTATTAAAGTTAAGTTAATCACTTTACTGCCTACAGCAAGGTTTATCCCTAACTGCTCAAATTAGGCCTTTAAATGTAAGAAATATTAGCTTACTCAAGGTAGTTTGTATTCTCAGGAGGAAAGCAGTGGAATAATTTGTTTAAATTTTTTTACCAGGTAAATGCCCTGAAGTACAACATCTAATTTAAAATGCCAGTCTAGGATGCATTTGAAACTATGCTTAGCTGGGCTTGCTAGGGTCAAGGGCCTCAAAGCTGCAATTATGAAATCATAATGCAATCTAATACATAGTACTCTCTTGATCTTTAATCATGTTATTTCCCATTTTCTTCAGTATTGTGTTCTCTCTCTGTTAATCTCAACAGCTCCAATAACGGTTCTGGGAAGTGGGCGGATGTGGCGATGCTGCCCTCCCACTCTTCTCTTACATGCACCTCATAATCCCCATTGTCAGAAAATCCCATTGTATGTTACCCTTTCATTGCAAAGGACTGGAATTAACCCCATATGCTCACAGAAAAGCACCTTATACCTTGTAACTTTGACTCCTGCCGTGATTACGAAAAATTACAGTCCATTAGAGAAACCAGTAATATCACTTCCTGTAACATCATTTGCAGACTTCTACCACCTTGGTAATCATTTTTAAATCAGTTTATGAACAAAAATGTTTAAATAGATGGCTTTATCCATATGATTGCCTGGATTTCCCTAAAACCGTTCATCTTCAGCAATTATTTGTATAGCATCTTTTTGTATTGAGAACAAAAATCTCATCAGTAAGAAGGTTTTTATAATTTTAGTTTTGGTGCACAGGTGGGCCTCCACAATCTTTTTTTCTCCTTGTCTCTACGCCCTTTTTATGCTGGAGTTCATATCAAAGTTCTCTCTCTTCCTTTGATACTATCAGTTTCTTTTGTAGAGGTTGTGTCTGTTCTTTGACAGATAGAAAGGTAGTAATTGTGGATGCTGCTGATGCTTCATAAGTAATTCAGCAACAGCTACTGAAATCATATAGATGACACAATGAAATACTTGTTCCATTTTGTAAAGAATAACTTCACTTATGTGCCTTCTTTAAAAGGCTGTTTTAAACCACCAAGCACTTACATTAGTATTTCCTGAAGGCACAAGAGACCTTAGTGGATTATATAAACAGACAGTAGCCTTATTTCTGAGGGAGTCCTTTTATAGAGATAGTTGTGGACACACTATATATTATAGTTTAGTATATGTGCACAAACAGTATATTGGGAGGGAGAACTTTTCATGCAAAATATTTTATGTATAGGTCCAAAAACCCTCACTTTGCCACTACAAGGACTTTTTTCAGTGTAATGCACAATCCTTTAGGCAATCATCTCCCATTAATTTTACTACGAACCATGTGGCTGAATTCTTAGTCACCACTCTGAAAATATGTCCTACTATATCGTATTGGAAAGATGCATTTTCTGAATCTACAGACACATTATTATTTTTTCAGAAACTTTTTTTTATTATGCTATTCAGTCACTTTATCTCAGTCACTGAAGTGGGAAGAATGTTTATTACCAGACAGAAACACCACATAGTAAAGTATTATTGCTGAACTTTTTTTTCACGTGTTTGTTTCTGGACTGGCACTATAAAATCCTGATGTACTTGAAAGCATTATCTTTGTCATAAAATAGTATAAAAATATACTGCACTGACTAGAGGGTTGTTTACAGGTAGGGTTTTGTGTAAAATATCTGTTTATATCCAAATTTACATCAGTCTTCAGAACTAGAGGTAAAATTTCAGCATCTGCTAACTTGCTAACTCAAATATCAGTACAAATCAAAGATGTAGGCAAGTGTAAGAAAGGACACTTTTCTCTTCAAACAGTAAATCTGTTTTGTTTTAACAATAGATATATGTCCTAGCATTCCTAACCCAATCATTTACACAGGGAAATATATCTACATGATAATTTTTTGACAGTACTAAAGACAGCACACTGTAAATTACAAAGAAATAAAACAGTGGATTTACAAAAGTAATATTCTCCTGTTTACATTGTAGGGCATATATTGTACCTGACATATTATAGTGACATAATACAGCATACATTATGGAATGTGTGTTTTCATTATAGTATACAGTACAGTGTAGGTGATGCTTTGTTTAATATATAGAATTTATGTGAACCATGTACATTTCAGTCATCAAAGTCAGGGCCTATATGGTACCAAATTACTAAATTCCATCTAGAGTCCCTTTGTAAAAAAAAAAAAAAAAGATTTGGTTTCATAGCAACCCATCTGTAATGAATGCCTGAGTCCCAGTATTTTATAATAATTGTGTGTTTCACAATGAGGTATGTGCATGTTTGAAGCAGTGTGTAGAGATTAGTATATCTTTCATGGTAAAACGCAGGTAATTACAGCTCATTAGACTTCTCACTGTGAATCATTATTTGTTAGATTTAGTCCTTTTTTGTTTGTAAACTGTTCTATGAGCAGGTCATGATTTTATTATTTTTTTAAATTAATAAATACTCAAATAGGCTTTATATTGCTTGCCAACTTGAAGAACTTTCATGCGCTTTTTCAATACATACCTATTTAACATGCTACGTTTGAAACTCACTATCCAAAGGGGCTCACTCAGGGCATGTGATATATATTCTTTTCTCTGGTTGGATGACACAGCTTTAATTAATAGGAAAGAAAATGGGACAAAGCAATATAGGGTTTGAGTGTCTTGGGAAGTGGATAAGTAAAAAGTGACAAAGATAAATCCTAGGAATTTTTCAGTCTTTACCTGTCCTCTTTTTTCATAAGAAAGAATAGTATAGCTTGTAGCATACATGTTATCCAGACTTCAATAACTGTCCCACATATTTTATTCACAAGACCAAAAACCATATTTACCAGCTTCCTAGCAGACCTTTTTGTCTGAATTCTCTGTGTCATAATCACAACAAATAACTTTGTGTGTGCGCAAACATACAGATGGAGCTTCATACAAGTCCCAAAATACTCATTTTGAAAGCTGAATAAAACCCTTTTTCTTTCTAATGCCATTGATAGCAACTTCATAGTAGCTTACCCT